GTCCAGCTCTGCGCCTGGCCTTGCGCGAAGCCCTCACGCTTTGTTCTGCAGCCCGGGCTGCACAAAACGTACGGGAAAAGAAAGGCGTCCTCCAGTGTCGTTGAGCGAGAAAATAAATAACAGATAGGTGTCTCGTCTCCATTGTCCGTTTTTTATATCTGGAACTAATTTTCTCGTCATCCTGATGAGTGACGAGATAATTGCTGCAGCTGCACCATACAGCGTATTCCAAAGAAACCCTTTTTTCATTAATTCAGACGGTGATTACATACTTAGAGCCAAATTTCTTATGCATGTAACCCTATTAAGCCCATGCCTTTACCCTGGGGATGAGCTTAGCCCTCGCTGTTTAAATAGCGAGTTCAATTTCTTTGTTCTACCAGAGACAAAGGAAGAAAGTGCTTTTTTTTTTTTTTCCCTGAAGAGAGAAAATTAAGGAAAGCTGATGTCTTCCTGTGCAAAACAGGCCACTGAGGATGGAGTCGCGGACAAAGAGGAATTATCTCTTTTTGCCGCAGAGCCAGGCAACTGGCTGCGTTGCTCTCTCAGAAATATTCATTTCTACAGACATCCCTGCAGCGAGAGGAAGAACTAGCGTGCTGCTTGCCCGCTGCAGCCGGGACCGCTCGGATCGGCGTCGCGGGTCTGAGGACAATGATCAGAAACTCTTCTCGGACCAGCTGGGAAAGGATTTGAGTCGCCGGAGCCCTTTATGCAGAGGAGGGACCTGCATAAAAACAAGGGATGAAAGGAGAGGAGGGATGAAGCCGCCCCGCAGCAAGCGCTTGCCAAGGCCGGCATGTCTGCGGGCTCTTTGATTTGGGCTGCGCTCTTGCGTGCAGCTCGCTGAATAACGAGGCGGAGAAGATAAAACAAGAGCCAGGAAGGTCCAAACAGAGATTTAACTGATGTTCATTTTCCTAACTGTGAAATAATAATGGCTAAAAAAAGAGCAGATTATCCGGCCTCTGAACGCAGCGAGAGAGTAAATAGCAGGATTGCGTATTGAATTGGAAATATCTGCAAAACGCAAGTGGGACTTGAACGTATGCAATTCCTATTTCGCTAGCACGGTAGTATTCACTATTTACTAGCTAAAGGAAGCTAAATGTTAGGATAAAAAGCAGTGTGCTCCACCGAAAGCCCGGAGATAAAATTGGCCTATTGTCTAAGGCAGGATTTGAGGAGTCTCCCCTGTCTTTGACCTTGCCCTTGCCCTTGTCTGCCTTTCCCAGATTTTATCCTCCGCGATTCGTCTGGAACTTCACCTTGAGCTTTAAAAAGGAACAATAGGAACAGAGCTGTCAAGTTAAATGGCAATTTATAGCTGTCGCCCAGATCAGAAACAAAGGAGCTCGGCTTTCACAAGACGGCCTCCTGGCAACACTGATTTCAACTACAGCCCTTCAGCAAAGGGCTTTCTGTGCAAGGCATTAAATGCAAATTTACCACTGATTTCATTAGCAAATGCACTTGCCTGGCACTTCGGTTGCCGCAAGGAGTCAGCCGGGCCATGACGTGTCCAGGCGGTGGCTCCCTGGGACGTCCGTGGGGCAGGGTGCGGGTGGCTGCTTTGGACTGCTCCGAAGGGAAGCAAAGCAAAATCTTGCTAAGATCAAATATGCCAATCTTGTCAAAAAGGGGTATATTTGCAATCAGGTTGCTAACTGGAGATAGTTTCTATCATCACTGAAGCAGTCATAGTCCAGGTATAGCCACACCAGTGAGGAAGGGCAGTGTTCACATCATAGAAATTATTTGGTGCCAAGGTAGATATCTGTGCTCTGTCTCCATTGGGACTTTACGCTGAGCTGGGTATTTTTTTTCTCCCATGAAAACTACAGGAGTCCCTTGGAAATCTTTCTGTATTGAAATTCCAGCTGAACACAAAACACCAACAGCTTGAAATTTGCCATGAGATAGAAAAACTCCCCAAATGTACCTTCAGATAATACCCTGGGAAAGAGAATGGTCACCGCAAAGCTAATTTCATTTTTAAAACAGACCTTCAAACTACCTTTGCGTTCTCTCCATTGGCAGTAGAAGTGAGCAATATCTTGTACCAAATCTCGTTATGACAAATAGAGCTAAGTAGGATTTACCCCAATTATATCACTGTATCTGACCTTGAAGGAGAAGGCACGGTATCCGTGAGAGTTTTAGGAAGAGTTAGTTATAGCAGGTGAGGTCTCTTGGTGTAAAAGCATCCGCAGACTTAGATAACCCTTTGACTTTTTTAACGCTTAGAGCTCTGCTGTTGCTGTAGCATCCTGGAAGAAGCTGTTGCCATAGGTGGCCAAGACAACTTCTCTCTCACCGGTTTAAGAGACATAACCAGAAAAATGAAACATAGGGTTTCATATCGGAGCATCTCATCACTACTGCTGTGCGAGGGCTCAGCGAGGGCAGAGGAGAGGGGCTGGGATTGCATTCCTAACTTCTCCTGCAAGCTCTGCTTGCTCCAGGGAAAAATCACAAAATCACCACACCTTGCTTTTCCCACCATAAAATGCAAAGAAGATGTGGCAGCCTTGGTAAAGCTCTTTAATGTACACAAATTAACGAATTAACGCTATCTAAGGGCACGTTGCTATTGTTGCCATTGTATTGTAAATCTTCCCACAGTCAAACAGCACAAACAGCAAACCTCAGTTCCTCTCGGTATTCAAAGGCCACTGGAAAGCTTTTCTTAGATTCTTCAGCCTCATAATTTCATCCTGTGACACCAATACAATTCCTAAACTCCGTGAATGAAAGGAGGATTGAAACATGGGGATGTCTAAACTGTCACTGATCTGGGAAAGCAGATCAAGAATAACATCATACTCATATTCAAAACTGTAATCTGAAATGCTGGCAAGGACTCAGTCTCCTTTTTTTTCCAAACTACATTTCTCCTCTGACGAACCCATCGCAAAATCTTTTATGGCCCCTTCACAGTTCCAACACAGCTTTTTTTTTCTTTTTTTTTTTCGGAAAAGATGAGGCAAAGATGCCTAAAACTTGCAAGGAGTTTCTTAGGAAGACATACCAAGAGAAAACCATGAGCCTTCAAGCCCTCTTCTGGTCATAGAGAGGGGTTTCCTGCAGCGAGAGGTGACAACAAGCTGGAGGAACAGCGGGGAAATCCAGAACCACCGCAAAGGACGCGGGTGGAGAAAAGGGCTGCTGGAAACCATACAGCTTTTGCTTTCCTTTGCTTTGTCCGCAATCAGCAATACCATCCTAGTCCACAACCGGCTTAGTGTCAACCCTAGCATGCTCCATACGAAACACCTCCGCGTCTCGCTCCAAATACCCATCGCCCCTCTGCAATCGGCCTCCGAACCCGGTGTTTCCTGCTCAGAGGGAGAGTGAATGGAAAGACTCATCTGGCCACTGCGAACCAAACACCACAATGTGGGGAACGCTGAGGAGCAACTGGTATTAAAGAAACTCCTTTCTGCCCCCTGGGAAACAAATTAGCACTGTCCGGGGCAGGGTTTCCTGCAGATTAGACTGGGCTGGCTATTTCTCCATTTAACAGAAGGCAGCATCTCATTTATCACTGAATTTATATTTTCCCTTCAGTACGACACAAAATCTTTCGCGCTGTTTCCCTTAGACTCTGTTAATGCAACTGCAGCGCGGGCTGATGAGTCGCTGCTTGTCGGCAGAGCCAGGCGCAGCTCCGTTTGAGCACAAACATAGACACCGAGCACAAAAGACATAGTTGGAGGGTGCAGCCTTTAAGCCTCAGGAGTTACTGGAAGCTCGTGAACAGTCATTATGGTTGAAGTTTAATCCTTGATCCCAGCGGATTCAGTCGAGGCGTAGGAAAGGGCAGACAATTGATCACCAGGAGGAGCCTCCGGTTCCCGTTGCGCATGCAAAACCCTGACTTGCACTGGGTATTAATTTTGACTTAATAAAAAATCCTCTCTATAGATACGCACTCTATAGATATAGATATGTATATAGGCATAGCCGCATACGCTCCAGGCTTCCCAGAGCGTCGGCTAAGGCTGACCCTAATTTGCTCTCAAATAGCATAATAAATTGGAGTTGAACGTGCGTCAGGTCATGAGCTGGTGGCAACGTTGCACTAGAAGAAGCAGCATCCCCCGTCACTGCTGTGTCCTGCTGGCTGCCACGAGCTACCCCACCAGTAATATGCTTCTTCCAGCACCGTCATGGGTTTCGGCGGTCCAAGGAAAATATCTTCCTCCCCAAACCCGGTGTGAGCACAGCAGTGGCTGACAGCAGAGGAGTACGGCAAGCACAGGGCTGAGTGGGACAAAGCACCGACACGGTGAGAAGCGTGATGGGGCAGGCAGAGGAACAGGGTCCAGGGGTGGAAACAAGGCGCCGCAGTCGCAGATTTGGGTGCTGGGCTCAGTGCAGCGGTGCTGGGGCTGGCCCACGGCCCCGGCGTTGCTGTGCACCTCGCCAGGGAAGAGCTGCTCTGGCTCCTTGCTTTGTAGGCACCAGGAGGCAGCAAATACACGATAAAGGTGCAAAGCTGAAGAGGAAACATATCGTGGCTATTGCTTCGCCTCTGCTAACAGAGGCTAAACCCCACGCCGAGAGCCGTGCGCTGAAACCCTATTCCCCATGCTGGTATCTCTATTTGCTTGCAGCCGCGAGCTCTTCTTCTGCCCAGCACTCCAACCCTAGCTGCTGAGCCCTGAAACTTCAGCACGTGAGTGAGAAGGGCTAGCTGGGGAAGGAGGAGCAGTGAACTGCCATTTTCCCCACGTCTAGGTGCAGCAGCTTCTCCCCCCTGGACCTACCTGTGTGCTCACATGCTCCCTTTCCTTTACCTCCAGGCAAAATGTGACATTTGCTCCTGCCAAAAAGCATGAGATGCAGCAGGATGAAATTCCCCATGACATTGGGGGCCGGAAACTCTGCCGGGGTAGTAATCGCCTGCCTTCTGGTGGGTAGAAAAACAGTGACTGTTTTGTGATTTGGTATTTTAAAAGGAGGTAATCCAGTGCAATTTGGCGCCTGCAATTTACCCCTGGAAATCGAAGAATGGCTGCATTGGATTAGGGAAAGATCCTATTAGCCCAGTGCCCGTCTCGCAAAGGACGAGCACAAAGTGCCCTTTGGCCGAAGCCTCCCGTGAGCAGGTGCCGGGAAGCTGGCTGAAGAGCTCTGTCTGCATGGAGCGGGAAAACGTCGATGCCACCAGCAAAAACACCTGAGAGGGGCACTGGGCAGACCAGATGCTCCCAGGCGAAGCTGAGGGCTGCGGGCTCTGTGCAAACCGGCTGCGGAGCAGCAGGACGCCATGAGGTTTGCTGGAAGGTGGTTCGCCCTGGCTGGCGAAAGACGGGTCCCTGGGGCAAAAATCGGCCCCTTGTGATTTCTGCAGCCGCAAGGCCAATGTCACGCCAGTCTTCAAAAAGGGCAAGAAGGAGGAGCCAGGAAACTACAGGCCTGTCAGCCTCACCTCCATCCCGGGAAAGGTGATGGAACAGCTCATCCTGGAGGTCATCACTAAGCATCTGGAGGACAAGAAGGTGATCAGGAGTAGTCAGCATGGATTCACCAAAGGGAAATCATGCTTGACCAATCTGATAGCCTTCTATGACAGAATGACTGGCTGGGTAGATGAGGGCAGAGCAGTGGATGTTGTCTTTCTGGACTTCAGCAAGGCTTTTGACACTGTCTCCCATCACATCCTCCTAGGTAAGCTCAGGAAGTGTGGGCTAGATGAGTGGACGGTGAGGTGAATTGAGAACTGGCTGGATGGCCGAGCGCAGAGGGTTGTGGTGAATGGCGCAGAGTCAAGTTGGAGGCCTGTGGCTAGTGGTGTCCCCCAGGGGTCAGTCCTGGGCCCAGTCTTGTTCAATATATTCATCAATGACCTGGAGGAAGGGACAGAGTCCACCCTCAGCAAGTTTGCTGATGATACTAAACTGGGGGGAGAGGCTAACACACCAGAAGACTGTGCTGCCATTCAGAGGGACCTGGACAGGCTGGAGAGGTGGGCGGAGAGGAACCTCATGAAGTTCAACAAAGGCAAGTGCAAGGTCCTGCACCTAGGCAGGAATAATCCCATGCACCAG